TGATTTTTTTTCATGCAAGTAGGAGGAGTACTGAAGAACTATAGTTAATCCCCTCCTCTGAATCTGGAATATTTTAGACTAAATGTTCTCAATATAGTCTCTGACTCTATGCTCAAGATGTCCAAAAAGGAAGTATCTAAGTGGAAGTCATCTATTCCTGCGTACTGGATTTATGAAAATGTGCCTATTGGAATAGCCTGTGGGAGTGGCTTAAAACAAAACAAAACAAAAAAAGTACCAGTGGGTTCCTTGAACATTTTACTAACCTTTGAGCAATCCATTGCGTCAGCCTTGAAGGCAAATTCTAATAAGAAAAGCTGAAATCCATCCTTTGCTTAAGAGATCACTTAATGTGTACTCAACAGAGAAGGGAAGTTGGGAGATGAGGCCTGCCCAGAACAGTTGCCTCCTCAAGACAAATGCCATTCAGCTGTGTACAGTAGCTGTTCTATTCTGAGAGCAAAAGGGACAACTCAGTCATGCAGAATGTTTAAGGTAGGCAGGCAGACAGGCAAGCCACCATCCACGCAAATAGTCATTTTTTTCCGGTAAATGATTTTGGGGTTTTATGAATCACATAGCATTGCACAGAAGTACCTCAAGCTCTGGATGAATTTATGGTTTTCATGGGGGAGTTGGGTGCATTGGCTTATTTGCCAAGCGCCACTGGAGTGACAGACACTCAAACGGGAAGTGAGGAGACTGAAAGAAAAGGTGGTATGTCCAGAAAGGCTCATGGCCAAAGTGTTATAGACAACGTTTTCAATTTTCAAAGAAAATATGTGCCCTTTTCAATTACAAAGGATAGAAGTAAAACAAACACAATTCATATGGAGAGCTCTGATGCTCTGAGTATATATTTTTTTCATTTAGCAAGTAATATCCAGACAGACTTCTGTTCAGAGCTGTTTAACATTTCATTCTATGGGTGCACTGAGAATGTTACACCTGTGTGGAAGCCGATGTAGCCAAAGTGTGAAATCATACTGAAAAACCAGAGTTAAAGCCATAAGGGGCAGGCTGGCCTAGGACTGGAAGGGAATGAGTGTTAGCCAGTGCTTGGAAGCATTTGTAGATAGTGGATAACTTTTAAAGATTTAGAAATTAATAAAATAACTGACAGGAAATATTGGCCTAAAAATGTGCAATGGGAATTTAGAAAGAGAGACAGATGTGAATAGGAAGCTCACTTATTAATTTATTGCTATTATATTGCCAATAGACAATTATATGTAGCAACATATTCAACACATCCATGTTTTGACTCAACAATCAGTCTGAAGGGCTTTTGTGTTGTTGCTGTTTTTGTCAGTCATGGGGCTTGAATTCAGGCCTTGGGCACTGTCTCTGAACTTTGTTTACTCAAGCTAGCACTCTACCACTTGAGCCACAGTGCCACTTCCAGCCTTTTCTGTTTATGTGGTAGTGATGAATTGAACCCCTTGCTTCATGCATGCTAGGCAAGTACTCTACCACTAAGCTAGCTTCCCAGCCCCAAAGGTTTTCTTTGTTTAGGTTAATTTAGTTTTTGTTAGCTGTGGGACTTGAGCTCTGGGCCTGGGTGGTATCCCTGAGCTATTCTGCTCAAGGCTAACACTGTACCACTTGAGCCACAGCACCACTTCTGGTTTTCTGGAGGTTAACTGGAGATAAGAGTCTCACGGACTGTCTTGCCCAGCCTGGCTTTGAACTGTGATCCTCAGATCTTAGCCTCCTGAGTAGCTAGGATTACAAGGGTGAATCACCAGTGCCAAGCACTGAAGGTTTTTGTTTTTTTTTTAATAACATTTTAATATTTTGGTTCTGGATATTGAACCTGGGGCCTCTCATGCTACACAAGTTCTCTATCACTGAGCTAAAGCCCAAATGAATTTTAGGATATTTTTGGAAATAAACAATGGGATAAAATAGAGAATATGTACATAAAATAATAGAAAAATCCGTAAGCTGTATATGCAAAGATGTTTATTGGATTATCATTGATAATAAAGAATTTTTTTTTACTAATTCATGATATGAAATCCTGTGAAGTAATTAATTCAGATGAAACTTCATTTATTAACACTGAGATGGCTTCCTATATGTCACTGAAAGCAGAGGCCAAGAAGTAGTATAATCAGAGTATAATCTTTTGCCTTTACATTCATCCATACCTAACATCTCTGTCAGCATTTTGTGGCTGTGATAACCTATCTGAAATGAGTGAGGAAAAGGTTTATTTTGACTCATGGGTGCAGAGGCTTCTGTCCATGTGCTTGGCTTTCACTGTTTCAGGGATTGTAGAATGGTTTGTAGAATAGAGGAACAAAGCTGTTCATCTCGTTGCAGCTGAGGACAAGAATTGAGGGAGAAATACACAGAGAGAGACAGAAACAGAGACAGAGAGACAGACAGAGGGCAGACAGAGAGATATAGGAAGACAGAGACAGAGAGAGGCACACACACAGATGGCTTGGGGTTCCTTAGGGCTCGCCCCCAATTACCTAACTTCCTTCCATGAGGCCACACCTCCCAGAGGCTCTCAATAGCAACACAGACTGCTGACCAAGCCTTCAGAACACCGGCCTTTGAGGGATGCACCACATCCAAACACCCCATCCCATCCCAGTGATTCTTACAAAACTGTCACCACAGTGGTGGTTTGGTTTGCTCAAAAAGTAAGGTGGCTGGGCACCCATGGATCACACCTGTAATCCTAGCTACTCAGAAGCCAAGATGTGTGGTTGGAAGCCAGTCTGGGCAGCACAGTCAGTGAGACTCTTATCTCCAATAGACCACCTGAAAAAACCCTCTGAAAGTGGAGCTGTGACTCAAGTGGTAGAATGCTAGTCTTGAGCACAAAACCTGAGGGACAGTGCCCAGACCATACACACACAAATAAGATGACCAGCCTTACTCAACAGATGTTTTAGTAAATAAATACATGCAATTCCCTTGGTTCCTTCCCATATGGAATGTACTAAAATACATCAGGGGTCTTGTCTTGTTGAAGCACAGTCCCTGCTCCTAAATGACACTAAGTATGTACCTACTAATATCAAATTAGTTCATGTTCAGTAATCTGTGTGTCTATAATCTACAGTCACTTGCCAATTCTGCTTTCTTCTATGACAGGAAAGATTTTTCCCCAGGTCCAGTTTAGTCATGTGACAGTCTTTGGCTGGAAGACTCTGCAGTCTCCATGAGACTGGGTGCATTTCTGTATGACGCTATTGCAGCATGAGAGTCACTGGCTTGGAACTGAGAAATCTGACTTCACTTCCATTCTGCCACTTGATAACACCGTCAGTTGGGCAAGCCACTTAACCTCTTTGGCTATTTCATTTATAAAATGGGTATAATGGAACATCTTTCCTCGGGTTGCTGTGGAATTGGACTTCAATAAAAGAAACCTTTTCTTTACTTCATTCTTACATCTTCAGATGTAAAGTTTCAGACAGGAATGTTAGTGTCTGCAGTGTTTCATTATTATTTACCTTATTAAAACACAACATAGCCACAACACACTGCCTGCCTGGATGCTGAATTCCTTTTCCTTTATAATTAGTCTCTTTGAAATAAACTACAGAAATATCTTTCCCAAATATTACAAAACTTTCCTATTTTCCATAAATGAATATGCAAATGATGATTATTTAAGATAATGTAACTTTGCCATTAAAGTAATCTACCTCTTTCTTGTTTTCAAATCCATAGTGTAGTTTTCTAAAAGAAGACCTCTCTTCTTTTTGTGTGTGTGTGAGGGGGTGTTTGTGTGTGTGTGTACAAAACCCTTTGCTCATGGATATAATATGCTATTTAAGTATTCTGCCTTCAGGCAGAAAACAAACAACCTAGTGATTTTTCCTTATTCTTGACTTTACTCACTCATGCCCAAAATTCTAGACTCATTCGAGAACAGATTCTCAGGCTTAGAAGAAGTTACTACAGGACACCAGGCCTTTGGAAAGCAGCCCAAGATGGCTACAAATGAAACAGGTTACATGTTCTTTTTTTAGACAATGTCACTTCTTTTAGACAATGTCACTATTTCTTTCACTTTCCTTCAGTTTCTTCCCCAGTCCCTTCCCGTGAGTTATTTCTCTACTTTTTACAAAAGACATATTGAGATCTTTACTGGGTATTCCTACATTAATAGCCATTATAAATGCATTTTCCCATTGGCTCCGTCTATTGGGCAATTAAAATAAGCTCAGCACTTTCTGAGAGAAGCATTCGGATCCTAACATCTCTCATCTTAGAGCTTAGAAGAAAAGACAAAGCCTAAAAAGATGTCCAATGTCACTTGGCTACAAGTGCAGGTGGGATTTCCACCGTGTCCCCCCCAATACCTGGGCCTTGAAATATTCTGCATAATTTCTCTGATAAGAATGGATGGTCAGTCTATTTGTTAACATTTATTGTAAAGTTGGAAGGATTCTTAGGTTTTGTATTTGTTTTAAAAGTTATTCTATTACAATTTTTAGACTCTATTACTACTTTCAAGTAGTTATGCAAAAGGGTTTCAATTTAGCATACTCTAACACCCAAATCTGAGACCCCCCCAAAACACAGAGTAGTTAAGTCCATTGCAAAAGCAAGAGCCTCTTATTAGCCAGCTTGAGCCCAGACCAACGCCAGCATGGATGCAGCCAAAGGCGAAGACCCCGAGCTCAGTTCACACAGGATTTTTTATAATGGGGTTCAAACAAGTAAAGGGGGTTTCCAGTTTGGCAAATACATGATTGCTTGACATTTACAAAACAAATAATGCTCTCTTCCCATTGGTGGCTCCTAGTCTGCCTGACTGCAAAGTTAACTATTGGGAACATCTGGTCCTTTCCCGACTTTCCAGCTGCCCTCTGATTGACTAGTTCCAGCGGTGTTTATCTGGCAGGAGGGCAGGCAGGTGGGCATGCTGGTGGTTCCAGTGACTGAGCACACGCAGGACAACCGGCTCTGTGTTGTTTCTGCCCTGCGGAAAAGGAGAAGCTGAGTGAAGCCCCGCAGTCTTCTCCGAGTGCGAGGCTGAACGGAAGCCTGTGCAGAGCTGCAGGCTGCTGGCGGCCCCGGCGGCTCCGGGGGCGGAGGTGGACGGTGGCCCCGCCTTCTCCCTGCGCCCTCGGTGCGTGAGCGCAGTCTGGGCGCGGGCTGGGGCCGTTCCCTCTGTGTGAGGTGGGGACGTGGGGAAGTCGGGCCCCGCCCTCGGCGCGTGGGCGGCGGGCTGGGGCGCGAGCGTCGGGAGGGCGTGGCCGGCGGTTGGCGGGAGTTCGTCGGGGAGCGCGCGGTGCTCTGCGCAGGTGCTGACGGAGCCCGCGGCCGAGGAAGAGGAGGTGAGAGCGGCGGCGCCGCCCGACCCGCAGAGTGATGCGAGCGGAGCGGCAGGACCGGCGGGGAGCAGCGATTCGCCGGCCTCCCTGCGCGCTGAGCCGCGAGTTCGCAATTCACTGCGCGTGGAGTCGTTTGGGCTCAGGATGCCGGGAACCCCGCCTCCGCCTCCGCAGCCGCCGCCGCTGTCCGAAGACCCCGAGGCGCCGCGCCTCGGGCCCGCGGGGAGGAGAGACGGCAGCCGGGGCCGAGGAGGAGGGGCCGGGGCCGGGGTTCGGCGTGGAGGGCTCCGGGGTGCGAGGGGCAGGGACCGGCGTGGGCCGGTCGGGATGGCGGGCTGGAGGCTCCAGGGGGAATGGAGGGACTGGAGCGGGGCAGGGTCTGGGGAGCGGCGGGAGGGGGTCTGGTCCGGGGTGGGCGTGGACCCGGCGGGCGCGCCCCACAGGACTAGGCGGGCGCGCCCTACAGGACTAGGCGGCCGCGCTAGCGTTCCCGGAGCCGGAGCAGAAGCGCGGCCTGGTGACCCTGGGGCGGCTTCCAGAGTGAGAAACATAACGACTCGGGTCCCAGGCTGAGCCCTGGCAGGAGCGCGCTAGGAGGCGGGTGCGCAAGGCTGGCTGATCACACAGGGGGCTCTGCCGCCAGGGCCTCCCCTCCCACTGATCCTGTCAGCCCCGGGCCCATGGAAGTTGGTCAGGAGGGTCAGGGGCCTTTGGTTTCAGGAGCAGCCCTGGCTTATTGTTAAAGGGCCTTCCTGCAGTAGGGCAGGTCCCCGCAGGGCCAGCCCAGGGCCCTGGACAGCTCCCCAGGCCTCAGCCTGCACAGGCCTCCCACCTCTGCTGGGGACTCTTGGAGCTCACTGTCAGGGGTAGGATGTCCCAGAACCCTAGAGAGGGGGTTGTGGCCCAGAGGCAAAGGCTCCTGCCCGTGACTTGAGGTTAGGGACAGTGGGAAAATTTGAGCATTGAAAGAAGATAGCTAGAAAACAAGAGTAACTGTGTCTGCAGTCTCTGAGAGCAATTTAGGGACCCTAGGGCCTGGTCCAGTTCTCTGCACCTGGAGATTGCAAAGGCTGCCAGAAGCTATTGAGGCCTTCTCTGCTCCAGGTTTGCATGGTTCCAAGGTTGTTTCAAGGATTTTTGTCCCATCATTTGTAGAACCAGGGAGCCTGCTAAGTTAGCAGGTCAGATCTTCAGCAGACATACAACACACTTAATTTTAACTCTCAGCTCTTGACAGTAATATCTGCTGTGTGTATTGAAGTCTGGGATTGAAAAGTTTGTGTGGCCAGCTGCCTCTCCCATTACCCATGTCCGCAGTTTCTGGTGTGCTTGTTGTTAATTAGGTGAACTGGTAGTCTGTGAAAGAATAAGGATGGGGACTCCAGGTGGGGCTGGGGCCGGAGCTGGACTTGTGGGGAAAGGTAGGAACCAGACTCTTGGGTGGTGTCAGCCAGGGGTAGGCTCAGGCAGCAGTCTGGGGAAACTCAGGACCTGCTACTGGCTGCAGTGCTAGATGGCATGTGTCCAGTACAGCCATGCTGAGCACATCCCATTTTTCTTGTTCACTGAGTTCTCAGCCCAGGGCCTTTGCACATTCTGTATTTGCACGTGAGTTGGTTTCTCTTTTTTCCATTACTTTAGTCTGCTGAATTGTGGGTTTGCAAAGTTTCTCTGACCATTCCATCTAAAACAGCTACTAGAAGTCAGGTGTCTGTGGCTCATGCCTCCAATCCTAGCTACTTAAGAGGCCAAAATCTGAGGATCTCAGTTCAAAAGTATCCTGAGGAAGAAAGTCCTTGAGGCTCTTACCTCCAATTAGCCAGAAAAAACCTGAAGTGGAAGTGTGTCTCCTATGGTAGAACAGCAGCCTGGAGCAGACTGAAGCTCAGCAACCACAGTGGAGGTCCCCAGTCCCCAAGCAGAAGGCTTGTCTTCGCAGACATCCTGTTGAATTTGGAAAAGGTTGGGAATTGTTCAACCTGGCTGCCTTTTTTTTGTTGTTGTAAAAATACCATATAGAGGGGTTAGAATTACATGGGCAAGGTAATGAGTACATTTCTTATCAAGCATTGTAGCCTCCTCCTTTGTTTCCCCTTCCCATCCTCCCTGCCCCCCCAATCCTCCCCCTCCCCTACCAAAATTGTAAAGTTCATTTTCGACATGACGACTTGTACATCTCATTGTTGCAATGGGTCCACCTTGCAGAGCAGAAGGTGCTTGGGACAGCTGGGCACATTCAGTTTGGCTTCTGTCTACTAGGCTAGGGCTTGCAAGCTTAAGGAGTATGTGATGTGATAATACTAATTTGGTTGGTTCAAACTAGCATTGACTAACACATGCAGTAGGCCCAGCATAGGTATTCATGTCTGTAATTCTAACTATTCAGGAGAGATCTGAGGACAAAGGTTTGAGGCCAGCACAAGCAGGAGAATCCAAGAGAACCTTATCTCCAATTAAACATCAAAAAGCCTAAAGTGGAGGTGTGGCTCTCAAGGGTTAGAGCACCAACACAAGGGACAGGGCCTGGGACCTAATTAAAGCCCCAGTACTGGCACAATAAACAAAGAAAACCAAATGATAAAACCTGCAGTGGAGGTGAGAAGAGGAGAAATTGTTTCATAAAATATACACTGAGGTTTTTTAAAAAAAATATTACCGTAAAGGTAAGGTACAGAGGGGTCACAGTTACATAAGTCAGGTAACGAGTGCATTCCTTTTTGGACAATGTCATCCCTTCTCTTGCGTTCTCCCCACTTTTCCCTCTAGTCCCCACCCAACAAGTTGTAGAGTCCATTTTCAACATTGCCTATTGAATACTCCTGCTGCATTTGTTCACTCTTTGTCCCTCCATTTTGGTGTTCCACCTTACCCTTCCAAAGACAGATAAATGAACAAGACCAGAGGAAAGGAAAATGAAAACAGCAACAAAGGAAAAAAAACATTATTCCTGTATTTCATTTTGATAAATATTATTTTATATGACCAGATGTACATCGCTGTTGAGCCTCTGTGATCCTCTCCTAAGAATATCCTCCTGGTGTTACTCTGTGCATAAACTCCATCTTATTAACCAATGTATGGCTTGATATGTGGTGTGAGTGTGTGTGTGTGTGTGTTTGTGTGTGTGTGTGTGTGTTTAATACCATGCTTGGATTTAAACTCAGAGCCTTGTGGTATTGCTTGGAATTTGTCTGCTAATGCTGGCTCCAGACCTCGATTCTCAGCTCTCAGCCTCTTTAGCAGCTAGAATTTTAGGTAAGAGCAGCAATGTGTCTTTTCTTTACTTTTTTGGCCAGTCTTTGGGCTTGACCTCAGGGCCTGCCCACTGTTACTGAGCTTCTTTTGTTGAAGGCAATTAATCTACCACTTGAGCCACAGCACCACTTCTGGCTCTTTCTGTTTATGTGTTAGTGAGGAATCAAACCCAGGGCTTCATGAATGCTTAGCAATCACTGTACCACAAAGCCTTATTCTAGGCTCCTGCTTTTTAAACTCTTTTTAAAAAAATAATCCAGGAACTTCTAGGAATTTATACTTTTTTAAAAATCAACTTTGTAGTGACTCTGTGAGAATATTGACATAAGAAAGACATAGCTGTGTTCTGTAGACCACATCCTGTTGGTTTAATCTGTAAAAGTCACTATCTAAAGGTTGAAGCAGCAGCAGTAAGTGTCAGTCATTGGCTTAACTTTAAAAAATGCCTCTTTTGAGGCAAGTTTTTTCTTCTACACTGGAATTTGAACTCAGCACTTTGTGTTGCAAGGCAGGCATGCTACCATGTGACCCAGGCCCTTATTTCTTTATTTTCTGTAGTTATTTTTTGAGATAGCATCTCACTTTTCTGTTGAGGTGGGATCTCAACAACTTTTTGGCTTGGGGCTGACCTGAACCCTTGATCCTCCCGATTTTTCTGTCTGCTTATGGAACACAGCAGTGTGCTAGGCCCAAACATCACCCTCCTGGAGGCATCAGAGATCCAACGACATGCTTTTCACTGTGGTGATACAGAATTACTTAGTTACTGCACTTAGAAGTATATCTGTGTGCTAGTTTAGAACTTTGGAGATCTTTGGAAAGTTACTCTGTCATGCCTTTTGTTTCCTATTTTATGCTGAGCAGTCACCATATTAATTAAGAAATTAATTAAGAGATGGGAGACATTGTTGTCAGACACTTTGTAATCATACACTGTTTTATAGAATGGGAACTTCTTTGTACAACTACTTAAAGATAATAATTATAATGAAAAGAATGTTTCTATAAAAAAAAGAGAAGTGAGCAGTTGTGTGATATCAGAGCATCTGGACTTTCTGCAGCAGGTGTAAACTCCATTTTCATTCTTAGGAGCCTAAAAGGAGGATTCCCCTATGGAAGATTCCCACGTGGCAGATTTGCCCTTAGTGTTCACTTAATTTTCCTTGGGTGCTTTGCCCTTTGTGTTGCTTTATTTTTCCATAGGTTCTTCACATTTCCTCCCCAGTTTTCTTCACTCCTAAAAGGCTATTCTTTGTCTTCCTAACACTCCCTAAGTGCTTTGCAATTTTGACCTTCCTGTTTCTTTCTCTTACTTATCTATATGATGGTGGAAGGGAGAAGCAGTGACTGGTGAGTTTGAGTCTTATTTTTCTAACAAGGTTTGGATTCTGAGTGCTGGTGACTGAGTTGATAGCCGCCTTCAGAGGCTAAGAATAAGATGAATGGAGGAGGGTGGGTAACTGGCCCAGCACGGCTTAGTGGCCTGAGTCAGAAAAGAAAGACATGTATAGGACAGGGGCAGTGACTTAAGGGCCACCTTTATCTCTGTCTCTCAAGTCCTCTTGGCTAGCTGGGTAGTAATGGATATTGGAACTTGGTTAGTGTCCCCAAAATATTGCAGCAGAAGCCTAGAGATACTTGTGTACTTCATTTAATTAAATTAATTATTTTGGGTTGTCACTGGGGCTTGAGCTTTATTCTTTCAAGGCTGGTGCTCTACCACTTGAGGAATACATTTACCTCTGGCTCCTGGCTTTTTGCTTGTTAATTGGAGCTAAGAGTCTCATGGACTATTCTGTCCAGGCTGGTTTTGAAGTGTGATTCTCAACCTCACCTTCCTAAGTAGTTAGGATTACAAGTATAAGCCACCAGCAAGTGGCCACCATTTGTATAAAATCTTTACCCAGTTTGCCTTTGGAGATTGAGATTGATTCTTTTCTTATATAATGACATGCCTTTTGTTTACCTTCTCTCTCTGGCTGTTGAATTTGGTGGCTTAAGCTGCATCCTTAGACTATTGATTAGCTGAGCCTCCCCAAGCAGGCTTCTCAAAAGTCACAGCCCCATACCAATCCTCTACCCTTCCTTCAGTCCTCTGAATCTTTTCATTTTCAGTTGGAAATTTCCAGGGTTTAGGGTTCTGGGGTTCAGTGACTCTGCAATCCTGTGTGAGTTATTTTTTTTCCAGGCTGCTACACACAAGAAGCTTAAATTTTGAAGTGTAATGCATTTCTAAATAATGTGTGTGTGTGTGTGTTGGGGCTCTTTAACCTAAATGTACACCCACAGGTGGCCTTGTCCTGGGCCCTTCAGGAATCCTGTGGCTTGGGAGGTAGACCCAGTTGAAAGGTTTGGGGCAGATGGCACCTTTTTTGGCTGAGCAAGAAGTGAAGTCCAATAGGACTTGGTAAAGATGGTTTCTCCATGACTCTTGCCCACCCTGATCCATGCTGCCTCACCATGGCCCAGACTTTTCCAGTGGATTCACGGCCTAGTTCTTTCTATGACCATTTATGGAAGTCACCACTTTCTTATTAAACATTTTTGACTTGGGGGAATGAGACTCTTCCATATGCTAGGTGATAAATCGGTGCCAGGTGTGTCAGACGCACACATCTACACTCATTCAAGCAGTTATACTTCCAACAGAAGGTGGTCAGCAGCAGAGAAAGAATACTGTCAGCCACTGAATCCCATTTTCTGTCGTGTATGTCATTTTTACAGTAAGTTGGCTCAAATTTCATCCAAGCAAGCTTTGGCCAAGAACCCAGATTTTTTTCTTTTTTATTGATGTTTTTATTGTGAAAAATACTGTACAGAGGAGTTACAATTACATGAGCAAGGTAATGAGTACATTTTTTTATTGTGAAAATACTGTACAGAGGGGTTACAATTACATGGGCAAGATAATGCAAACAACATTGAGATACCTCCTCACCCCAGTTAGAATGGCTATAATCAAGAACTTTAATAACAACAGATGCTGGAGGGGATGTGGACAGAAGGGAACCTTTCTGCATTGTTGGTGGGAGTGTAAACTTGTTCAACCACTTTGGAAAGCAGTATGGAGGTTCCTCAAAAGACTCCACATAGAGCTCCCCTATGACCCAGCAATCCCACTTTTGGGCATTTACCCAAATGATCACAAACAAGGCCACACTAAAGCCACCAGCACGACTGTGTTTATTGCAGCATTATTTACCATAGCTAAGATATGGAACCAACCCAGATGCCCCTGAGTAGATGAATGGATCAAGAAAATGTGATATATATACACAATGGAATTCTGTGCCTCCATCAGAAAGAATAACATTGCCCCATTTGCTAGGAAATGGAAAGACTTGGAAAAAATTATATTAAGTGAAGTAGGTCCCATGGTTTCCCTTATTTGCAATAACTAGTATATGTCTGAGTCAAGCAGAAAAGGTCAGATAAGTTGATGTTAGGGAAATGAACCCAAAGATATGTATTGAAATGTTTCTTTCAGGTGATTGTTTCTAACACATTTATAAGATGATTTTTTTTGTTGCTTTGTATGTCCCTCCCCCATGTTGTAACCCCTGCTTTCACTGTATTTGAGGTTAGTATAATTTGTGGAAGGAAAGGGAAAAAGCAAATAGTTTAAATAGGGATACAGGTGGATCCATTGCAACAATGAGATGTACAAGAACCCAGATTTTAATCAGTCTTGTTGAAAAGCATCACCAAGAAATGGGCCCAAGGAATTGTGGGTCTCCAGGGAGTGCCTTGGCAGGTGGCCTGGACTGGGTGCAAGCTTGATGCTGCCTGGGTTTAAAGCTGGACCTGGGTGTCCAATTCTGGGCAGGATTTTCTTCCATTGCACTTGGAATCCATTCTAAGACCTTTTGAGTTTCTTCTAATTTATTTTCTAATCCTTTCCTTCTGCAGGTTTCCCGACTCCTTGGCTCACCCTGGCTGCATCTGAGATATTTTACTTCTTAGTTTGCCACCTCTGTGGGAGAAGCAGTTCTCTGTGAGTAGGGGTGAGATGGGCAGGCAGGGAGGGAGGAGGAAGAGGAGTCTGATGAGGAGTGGGATAGGGAGGCTCTGCTCTGTTTTACTGTCTGGAGCAGGAGGCTGAGCTCAGCTCAGAATTGCTGCAGTAGGGAATTGCTTGCAGAGATTGGAAGGACCCAGAAGAACTGGAGAATTTTTCTGCTGGAGGGGCAGGTTTCTTTAACTTCCCTGTTCCTTTGATTGTCTCCAGGTTTGTCTTAGAAGTGTGGTGGTAAGGCTGAGATTCAGGCTGTTCCCTAACAAGTCAGTATGGGGAGTCCGGAATTTCTAGTTGGGTGAAATTAACATTAATGGCAAAAATATAGCAATGGCAGAAAAGTCATGCAGATGGACACTGCAGTTCATGCCTGTAATCTTAGTGACTTGGGAGGGCAAAATCGGGAGGATCACCATTGGAGGCCAGTGTGGGCAGAAACATTCACAAGATCCCATTTCAAATGAGCACTGGGTGTGGTGGTATGTGGCTGTCATCTCAGTCATAATGAGAATCCTCATATATGGGGATGGAGGCCCAGATATACACCCAGGAAGGAAGCAAGACCCTATTTTAATATTAGCACAAAAAGGTTTGCAAGCATGGCTCAACAGTAGAGCACCTGCTTAGCAAGCACAAGGCTCTGAGTTTGATCTCTTGTACTTAAAAAAAAAAAAAGCACATGAATGTAGCAAGCAGTTTAGCAGGTTAGCAGAAGAAAACCAGCTTCCTTTCTAAGTGAAGAACCGGGACCCACAACTCCTCTTAGTGTCTGGCATGCCACTCAGTTGTCTCCTCCTGGGAGCATCCAGGATTTCCCAGTGCTCCAACCTTATTCCTCAAAATGCCTTGTCATGCTGATTTGCCCCAAGACTCATGGCTGGTGACTCCCAGCGGTCTTTAGGACTGGCAGGTGTGTTCTGTGCCCTGTAGAGCCAGCGAAGGTTGTAGAAGGAAGCACTGATGCCCAGGTATGAGGCTCTGTGACCATTATAGAAAGCCTTTCCAGGAGAGCCAGGCACACCTCTCTGCTCTCCAACTTCCCTACCTGCCATGTGACTGCCCTTCTTACTCATTTTTGCTGAAGAAACACCCTGCCCACAGTCACTGTGTCAGGGGAGAGCTTCAGGCTGTGGGCCAGAGTTTGTGTCACATCAGAGCTCCTGATGTCCTCATCTCCCACAGGCCTTTGTCATCATCTTGGTGTGGCTCTGCTGTTTCCCAGTGTCCTGGACATCAGGAGCCCCCAGAGGAGGAAGGCAGAGATCTTCAGGACAACCTGCCTCCTGCTCACAGACCTGCATATGTACACCATGCAGGTGAGAATACCAGAGCTCCAGAGGACAGAGGCATTTCTGGGTCTAGCCCCATTCCGTGTCCTGTGTACCCATCCTCGACCAGCCTGCTTCTTTCCCCCTCTCCCCCTCAGCTTCTGTGGGTGAAGCAGGCATCTTTAACCAAGCCAGGGTAGGGCGGGGGCTTCTACACATGTGGTTATCCACATGGAGGGCACCATGGCCTCAGTCATTTATGTCTCTAAGGTATAATTGCATATTATTTTCTTAGCAGCCATCAAGGGCTTCAGTGAGCTATGGAAACGTGAGCTGTGGAAACTTGATCGTATCTTGGCTCTTTCCAGGCCGCTCTGCTTTATCCTGATGCTTGAGTGGCTGAGTTGCTCCCACTTCTTTGAAACCAAGCAGCACACACAGCCAACCCCAAAGTTGAGTCTTTGAGATCACTCTGGAAGCAGAGCAAATCTGGGCCCTGTGGTCTCCTGCCTCTCCCAGGGCCTTTTGCTCTCTCAGGGTTGGGGGTGCTGCTGTGGCTGAGGGTGTATATGTGCTAATTATCTATCCTGTAGATCAGGGGCAACTCTGGGGATCATCTCTGTTCTAATTATGCATCCTGAAACTGGCGACAGACCTGAACCCAAAGCTCACCGGTCTCCCTACCCACACAAGCCCTTCTTTCTTTGGAGCCACGGTAATGCTTTGATCTTCTGGAACTTTTCCATGGTCACTGGAAACCCTGACTGGATGTCTTTTGATTTCCTCTTCTTATAAAATCACCAATATTCTACCTTGATAACCTTAGCTACTTCAAGTATTCCCTTCTTCCAGCAACTTCACTTCTAAACACAATAGTCAAGTTGAGCATCTTCCTCCAGGTGCACAGCTGCTCTGGGGAAAGGCCCTGTGTGTGTGTGTGTGTGTGTGTGTGTGTGTGTCTGTGTGTCTATGTGTGTGTCTGTGTGTGTGTGTCTGTGTGTGTCCTTTAAGAAAGGTTTGCCAGATGACATTATTTTGTTTTTTTGTGGATCTTGGGGCTTGAATTCAAAGGCACGCTACCACTTTGAGCCACAGCACCACTTCTGATTTTCTTGGGGTTCATTGGAGATAAAGAGTCACATGGACTTTCATGCCTGAGCTGGCTTTGAACCATGATCCTCAGATCTCAGCTTTCTGAAGAGCTAGAATTCAGAGGCATGAAGCACTAGTCCAGGTTAATCATTCTTCACTTGTTGGAGAAGTAGCCAAATTAGTGCATTGTTACTTGTCCATATTAAAAGCTTTACAATGAGATTAACTTTGTGGGACTCTAGTCTTGGATCCCAGCCAATTGTAATTTTATTGTTAGCATAAAATTTAGTATGTGTTGGTCTAACAGGTTGTTCTATGTGCATGGGACATTCAGGAAATGTTTACTGAATGAAAAATATCCTAAAGGTTTGTGAGAGAGGGTTGAGCTGTGAGAGATCCTTTGGCTTGAGTGCTGTGTGATGGCTTGTGATCTGGTTCTCAGTCACTGTTGGTTGACAGATGGTCTCAGAAGCTTAGCTTTGCCCTCCCTGGGGTATGCTGTGGTAATGATGGAAGGAAAGAGAGGTTGAGACTAAATATCCACTTACAGGTTTGAAAAACCTCTAATGTAAGATTCTAGGTGGTTTTCTTCATTTTCCCAATTTGAATATCATGGTAACTCTATTCTTTATGGTCTCAATGCTGCTTCAAAATTCTGTGGTATTTTCTTCCTGGGTATATTATCTGATTGAATGCAGAAATGATATAGTAGGGTGAGAATTCAAAGAAGCACTAAATGATACTGGGCAATTTTGGGAACTTACCTTTGAATCTAAAGGAAGGTATATGTGGGGGGTTTTTGGCAAAGAGATGTCGTTAGCACACCAACACCACTTTATTATTTTTTTTAATTTTATTACTTTTTTTTTTTGGTTGTGGGGCTTGAACTCAGGGCCTGTGTGCTTTCCCTGAGCTTTTTTTGCTTGAGGCTAGCACTCTACCACTTTGAGCCCACAGTGCCACTTCTGGTTTTCTGGTGGTTAATTGGAGATAAGAGTGTCATGGCTTTCTTGTCCTGACTGGCTTTGAACTGCAATATCCAGCTGTCAGCCTCCTGAGTAGCAAGGATTACAGGTGTGCCACCAGTACCTGGCCAACATCACTTTAATTGATTTTCTCAAGTGAGTTTTTTCTTTTTCTTCTAAATTTTTCTACAGTCTATTATTCCATCCAGGGTTATATGTTATGTTTATTGGCATGACTTTCTTGTCTCCAGTCATTGGGAACAACACCTTAGTCTTCATTTACTTTTTGTGACATCTTTGTAGAATATATGACAACTATATTATGAAAAATAGTTTGAGATTTTCTGACCTATTCCACAAATTAGTTTCGGGCTGTGCATTTGCGGCAGAAATACCAGAGAGATGATCGATGTGTTGTCCTGCTATCTAGGAAATTTGTCTCTCTCCCTCTTATTGCTTTGTTCTTTATAACCTGGGTAGGTCCATGCTGTTTCATGAAGAGCCATAATTAGAGGGTGAATTTGACACTACTGAGCCGTGTTCTGTGGCATCGTGTATGTCCCTCCACGGATTCCAGATTACATATTGAATGTGTACAAGAATTACTCATGGGGCTGGGAAGGTGGCTCAGTGGTAGAGTGCTTGCCTCTCATGCATGAGGCCCTTGGTTCGATTCCTCAGCACTACATAAGTAGAAAAAGCCGGACATGGCACTGTGGCTCAAGTGGTAGAGCACTAGCCTTGAGCTGAAGAGCTGAGGGGCAGTGTCCAGGCCAAAATCAGGTGCCACCTGTGGCCAAAAAAATAAAAATCACTCAGGGGGTCTACACAGAATATCCAGTGTACCTCCTGCAGGGGTCTTGCCTCTGCCAGCCTGGGGTTGGCTGGTGGGGGATGGCTTAATGCTGTCTGTAATAAGCACCAGAAGGATATGAGAAAGGGTTGTTATAAAACACTGAGGTGTTAATGAGTTAGAGGGAGAAGTTTCTTCATTGGTGATTATCAGCTCCCTCAGCCTGTTGTGTTCCAAGAAGATTTCTCAACAGCCCACAGTGGACTTGCCTGTAACTTCCCACCTTTGTAAGTTTGGAGGTGACAGTTGTGTGATTGCTGTCAGGAGTAAATGTCCCCCTGAGCTTTTAACCAATGGAATTTGCGGTGCACTGTCAAAGTCTGTGAAGGAGCTGTGTCAGCCATATTAGCTAGCTCCTTCGTGGCCTCTGCTCTGGCTGATGTTGACTTTCACCTCAAGAGGCCATATGAGGCTAATAAGATGGGTGCTTCTCTGGATACACAGAAGGTATAAGCCTCATGCACCCTTGTATTTCTCAGTCCATGGCCCAGAACTCTGTGCAGGGAGGTGAACCACAACTAAAAGGCAGTTGGGACTCAACAGCATAGTATGGGCTATTGTGATGATGATGAATCTTCATGTTTGTTCTTCTAGTCATTATAACCAGGTACTTGAGGTTGGATAATTGAAAGCAACAGACATCTAGGTTTCCCTGTGCCTCTTCAGGAAGACTCTACCCTGTGACCTACTCACCTTCTAAGTTTAGGAGCCCCGAGGTCCATCCCACAGCTATGGAGGTTAGTTTCCACCTCCATATGACCTTGGGTGACATCTTCCTAGATTTTCTCTCCCACTTTGTTTCTTTATGGAGTCAGGTGTCCCATGATCCCACCACTGAGGTCTCGCTTTAATATATCTGCTGATGCTCTTAATTGGTCAGGGTTGAGGGACACAGCAAGAACTTACAAAATCAAGTGCTAAGTTTCTTCAAGGAGAGAACTTTGAAGGACAGGGAACGATACCCATGGAAGCAGGAGATGATGAACAAAAAGTAAATGGAGAGCATGTGCACCTGGAAAGAGCCAATTAGAAATCTGAAAATTGAAAACATCTGCGGAACAATAACAATTATGTAACAATACCTAACCATTTTTGATAATCTTAAACAATTATTTAACTATTGAATACAATAACAATTATTTAAAACCAATAAGGTACTTCATGATGAGCTTGATTTAGCCAAAGAGAGAATTGGAATTTTGGAGACCATAAGATATTGACCCAGAAGATCACTGAGAGATAAAGGAATGAAAACTGTGAAAGCCAAACTGGGTTGAAAAGGAAATGTTTGAGAAGTCCCAACCAGCTTTTCATTTGAAGTTCCACTAATTAATAAGTGAATCCGTAAAAGCAAGGCAGTATTTGAATAGGCGATATTTAAATGTTTGAACAGTCTTGGGTGCTGAGGAGAATTTCAAGATTTCTGTATGGTCAGGGACATTGATGGTGGCAGCATCCACCAAAATATGGCAAGCTCACTCACAGTGAGCAACTTGGGAAATCATATATATACTAGGATTGTGATCTGAGGCCATCCCCAGACAAAAATGTGAGATCTGGAAAATAATTGAAATGAAAAATAGACGATTGGTATTGGACTGTGCTTATGTGGAAAAGTGCCTGCCTAGCAAGTACTAAGGTGTGAGTTCAAACTGGAGTACTGTAAAAACAAACCTCTGTACTTACCTTTGTGCTGGAGTGTGGAGGAGCAGCGTCCTTCCTCTCAGGTGAGACCTCTGGGCATCTGGGCTTTTTGCTCCGGTTGCAACTACTCTAAACTTAGATGGAGTTCAAGAGGCAAGACTGTAGAATTACATGAGTCTCGTTCAGATTCTTTGTTACCTATGCAATGAGTCATGGAGCACATCAGGAAACACCTCAGGAGCCTCCTACAATCTTCTCAGTAGTACAGCACACACAGCACTGAGAGCGTTCAGGGGATATGGTGTAGTTTACTCAAAAACTGTAGCTACCAGCATTGGCATTTTTTTCAGAAGGCTCAGATGAGTGGTGATAGGTAATGCCAAGTATGCTTGAGCCAGAAGTGTAGCTGTAGCTCAAGTGGTAAATTTCTGGCCTTGAGCAAAATGAAGCTTAAGAACAGCAGCTAGGTCCTGAGTTCAAGTCCCAAGACACAT